GGCCTCAGCGGGAGCCTCCCTCTGGGCGCCAGCATCTGAGGCTGCTCCTCCGGGCGCCTGGCTTTTGACCTGTGAGTCCTGTGCCTGGGCCACCTGAGTTTGGCCCAGTTCATTTAATTTTTTAAATATATTTTTCCTAGAGGCCCAGTGCACGAAATTCGTGCAAGAGTAGGCCTTCCTTCCCCCGGCTGCCGGCATCGGCTTCCCTCCGGCACCCGGGACCCGGGCTCCCCTCCGACCACCGGCAGGCATTCAGGGCCCGGGCTTCCCTCGCAGCCCCAGCTTCATCTGGAAGGTCGTCCGGATGGACATCCAGTCTAATTAGCATATGATGCTTTTATTATTATAGATTGATTTCAGAGAGGAAGGGAGAGAGAGAGAGACACACACACACACACACACATCCATGATGAGAGAGAATCATGGACCGGCTGCCTCCTGCAGGCCCCCCACTGGGAATCGAGCCCGCAACCCGGGCCTGTGCCCTGAGCGGGAATCTAACCCCGACCTCCTGGTTCCTAGTCGATGCTCAACCACTGAGCCACGCCGGCCGGGCGGCGCAGTTAATTTAAAAACCTGCCGTGTCTGAGGGAGCTTTGCTGAAGCTGCTGCGTTCAGTCCCCCCCCTGAGAGCGGGGCCTCCTGGCCACAGACAGCCAAGGAGCGGCCTGGTGAGGAGATCAGGCCGGGTGCCCCCGGGGACGAGGCAGGGCAGCACCTCCTGGGGCGGGCGTCTCTCTCTCTCTCTCTCTCTCTCTCTCTCTCTCTGGTTGCGGATTTCCCAGGCCTCCCCTCCCCCAACCCCTCCCGCCTCCGCTCCTGCCCTTTGCCTGTCTGCACGCTCAGGGCAGGCGGAGGGAGAAGATGTCAGACTGGAGTTAGCTAATTCCTTTACTCAGGCCGCTTGGGGCCCCAAAGAGGCCAGTCACGGAAATGTCCAGGGGCCGCGTGGAGAGCCTGCGCCCTCCCCACCCACGTGGGTGCACACACCGCCTCCTGCAAACATTCTCTGCCACCTCGGTCTCATTCACACACACACACACACACGCACACGCACATGCAATCACACATACACGCACACACAGATACACACACACGCGCACATGCAATCACACATACACGCACACACACAGACACACACATGCACACGCATGCCCCTGCGTCCCCGCCCAGCTCTGCAGCCTTGCGAGTGGGAACCCGCGCCCTCTCCTCCCATGAGCAGAGGCCAGAGGCTGGGTGTGGGGGTTGACATCATCCATCCATCCATTCATCCACCCATCCATCATCCATCATCTATCCATCATCAATCCATCATCCATCCATCATCCATCCACCATCCATTATCCATCCATCATATACCCATCCATCCTCTTTTCATCCATCCACCCACCCATCATCCAGCGATCACTGAGTGACACTACATCCCTGAACGCTTTCCCCGTGAGCTAACGAATGAGCCGGCTGTGTGCTATGCGGGGGGAGCTGCTGGGGGCAGGCTCAGGCCTCGTTTGCCTGGCAGGTCCCTGGTGGCATTTCCTGAGCACCAGCCACACCCCAGGAACTATGGTAGGTGCTTTGCATGCATCATTTCATTCCACCCTTGAAACAACTGTCCGGGAGGAACTGTTATGATGCCCCTGAACAGATGAGGAAACGGAGGTGCAGAGGAGTTAAATGAATGTTTTGGGAGAGAGTTCAGCCCCTGGCTCCAGGGCTATTTTACTCCAAAATATACCCTTTCCCCCAACACCACTGTGCAAGACCTTCAGATGTTCCAGCTCAGTCTCCGTGCAGTGTGAGTACACAGATGTGCGCGCGCACACACAGCACACACATGTGCACACATGTGCACACATGCACACACGCACACGCGTGCCCCTGCATCCCCGCCCAGCTCTGCAGCCTTGCGAACAGGAACCAGCGCCCTCCCCAGGTCCCCCCCCAACAGCCACCTTCCCATGAGCAGAGGCCAGAGGCTGGGTGTGGGGGTTGAGGGGAGGCGCGGTCTGGCGGTCTGCGACCACGCCCCCTGCAGGGCCTCAGGCAGTCATGCCCCCTCCAGGGCCTCTGGAAGCCACACCTCCTGCGAGGCCTCAGCCTGGTCAAGCCCCCTAGGGAAGACCACGCCCCCTGCAGGGCCTCAGGCAGTCATGCCCCCTCCAGGGCCTCTGGAAGCCACACCTCCTGCGAGGCCTCAGCCTGGTCAAGCCCCCTAGGGAAGACCACGCCCCCTGCAGGGCCTCAGGCAGTCATGCCCCCTCCAGGGCCTCTGGAAGCCACACCTCCTGCGAGGCCTCAGCCTGGTCAAGCCCCCTAGGGAAGACCACGCCCCCTGCAGGGCCTCAGGCAGTCATGCCCCCTCCAGGGCCTCTGGAAGCCACACCTCCTGCGAGGCCTCAGCCTGGTCAAGCCCCCTAGGGAAGACCACGCCCCCTGCAGGGCCTCAGGCAGTCATGCCCCCTCCAGGGCCTCTGGAAGCCACACCTCCTGCGAGGCCTCAGCCTGGTCAAGCCCCCTAGGGAAGACCACGCCCCCTGCAGGGCCTCAGGCAGTCATGCCCCCTCCAGGGCCTCTGGAAGCCACACCTCCTGCGAGGCCTCAGCCTGGTCAAGCCCCCTAGGGAAGACCACGCCCCCTGCAGGGCCTCAGGCAGTCATGCCCCCTCCAGGGCCTCTGGAAGCCACACCTCCTGCGAGGCCTCAGCCTGGTCAAGCCCCCTAGGGAAGACCACGCCCCCTGCAGGGCCTCAGGCAGTCATGCCCCCTCCAGGGCCTCTGGAAGCCACACCTCCTGCGAGGCCTCAGCCTGGTCAAGCCCCCTAGGGAAGACCACGCCCCCTGCAGGGCCTCAGGCAGTCATGCCCCCTCCAGGGCCTCTGGAAGCCACACCTCCTGCGAGGCCTCAGCCTGGTCAAGCCCCCTAGGGAAGACCACGCCCCCTGCAGGGCCTCAGGCAGTCATGCCCCCTCCAGGGCCTCTGGAAGCCACACCTCCTGCGAGGCCTCAGCCTGGTCAAGCCCCCTAGGGAAGACCACGCCCCCTGCAGGGCCTCAGGCAGTCATGCCCCCTCCAGGGCCTCTGGAAGCCACACCTCCTGCGAGGCCTCAGCCTGGTCAAGCCCCCTAGGGAAGACCACGCCCCCTGCAGGGCCTCAGGCAGTCATGCCCCCTCCAGGGCCTCTGGAAGCCACACCTCCTGCGAGGCCTCAGCCTGGTCAAGCCCCCTAGGGAAGACCACGCCCCCTGCAGGGCCTCAGGCAGTCATGCCCCCTCCAGGGCCTCTGGAAGCCACACCTCCTGCGAGGCCTCAGCCTGGTCAAGCCCCCTAGGGAAGACCACGCCCCCTGCAGGGCCTCAGGCAGTCATGCCCCCTCCAGGGCCTCTGGAAGCCACACCTCCTGCGAGGCCTCAGCCTGGTCAAGCCCCCTAGGGAAGACCACGCCCCCTGCAGGGCCTCAGGCAGTCATGCCCCCTCCAGGGCCTCTGGAAGCCACACCTCCTGCGAGGCCTCAGCCTGGTCAAGCCCCCTAGGGAAGACCACGCCCCCTGCAGGGCCTCAGGCAGTCATGCCCCCTCCAGGGCCTCTGGAAGCCACACCTCCTGCGAGGCCTCAGCCTGGTCAAGCCCCCTAGGGAAGACCACGCCCCCTGCAGGGCCTCAGGCAGTCACGCCCCCTGCAGAGTCTCTGGAGGCCACGCCCCTACAGGGCCTCTGGGAGCCACGCCCCCTGCAGGGCTTCAGGCAGTCACACCCCCTGCAGGGCCTAGGGCAGGCCACGCCCCTTCAAGGCCTCAGGCAGCCACACCCCCTGCAGGGCCTCAGCCTGGTCACGCCCCCTAGAGCAGGCTACACCCCTGTAGAGCCTCTGGAAGCCACGCCCCCTGCAGGGCCTCTGGAAGCCACGCCCCCTGCAGGGCCTCAGGCAGTCATGCCCCCTCCAGGGCCTCTGGAAGCCACACCTCCTGCGAGGCCTCAGCCTGGTCAAGCCCCCTAGGGAAGACCACGCCCCCTGCAGGGCCTCAGGCAGTCACGCCCCCTGCAGAGTCTCTGGAGGCCACGCCCCTACAGGGCCTCTGGGAGCCACGCCCCCTGCAGGGCTTCAGGCAGTCACACCCCCTGCAGGGCCTAGGGCAGGCCACGCCCCTTCAAGGCCTCAGGCAGCCACACCCCCTGCAGGGCCTCAGCCTGGTCACGCCCCCTAGAGCAGGCTACACCCCTGTAGAGCCTCTGGAAGCCACGCCCCCTGCAGGGCCTCTGGAAGCCACGCCCCCTGCAGGGCCTCTGGAAGCCACGCCCCCTGCAGGGCCTCTGGAAGCCACGCCCCCTGCAGGGCCTCTGGAAGCCACGCCCCCTGCAGGGCCTCTGGAAGCCACGCCCCCTGCAGGGCCTCTGGAAGCCACGCCCCCTGCAGGGCCTCTGGAAGCCACGCCCCCTGCAGGGCCTAGAACAGGTCACGCCCCCTGCAGGGGGAGCACCACAGGGCCCGTTGTCACCCAGCAGCTCAGCCTGGAGACCTGGCCCAGTCCCAGCGGAGGGTGGGGGTGACCTCAGGCCAGGCGTCCGACCCTGGGAGCCCCAGTCCCTTTGTCCGGGAGGCGGGGCCAGTGACACCCACAGGGTGTGACCGCGGGGTCCCCCTGGCCCCGCCCCCTGACGCTGGGGCTCTGGCTCTGGCAGATCACGTCCAGGGTGTTCTTCGGGGAGCCCGGGCCCTGGTTCAACCAGCTGGACATGGACGGCGACAAGACGTCGGTGTTCCACGACGTGGACGGCTCCGTGTCCGAGTACCCCGGCTCCTACCTCACCAAGGCCGACAACTGGCTGCTGCGGCACCCCGACTGCATCGACGTCCCCGACTGGCGGGGGGCCATCTGCAGCGGGCACTACGCACAGGTGGGCACGCACAGGGGGGC